ACCTCCATGTTGGCCCACATCTGATGAGCCACTGCCCTATCCACACTTCATGAGCTCCCAGGTCACAACACTTGAGATAGCATTCATGTCATCACCATTGCTCTTCAAAGAACATCTGTTAAGTCAGTTTCGATGGGTCCATAGAGCTTCCGGCTCATGCTGTAGCCAATACAACCATCTAGTCATGAAGCCTTGGTCCACTGTGAACATCCAGAGTCCTTATCTTTAGATCCAGCTTTCTCCAGGTACATTTATTTCTGGAAACATTCTTCTGCCGATTCACATAGTATGCTAATATTTCTGTGGTTAGGAACAGTCTATCACAATCTAACAGGTCTTCCCAACTTTCAAATTCCAGAAAAAGTCATCAAGACTGTGGTTCCTTTTCTCACAGAAGTTCCTAGTCTTCCTGTATGGCTTGTTACCTTTGCACCTCCGTGACAGGGTCCCCAAGAAAGCAACAACCTGGAGGAGTCACAGGTCCTCATGGTGTACCTCTCTACCCTGGCACTGAGGGCCTTCCCAGACCGGAAGTCACTCTGGTTATCTCTGGAAAAACAATGAGCATCTGTTTCAAGGTGGCTTTTCTCTTCTGCTTAATCTTTGAAATAGTTTGCCTTCAAGGTGACTTTTTATCCTTCCTGTTCCTAGAAACAGCCCAAAAATTACCTGGCATAAAGTCAAAATCATCCTTATCTTCAGCTTCTGAGGAAATCGGTTTAGGTTTTGAGAACTTAGCAGTTATAATAAAAGCAGACCTCTTTACTCATCATTGCTCCTAAGTCTCATACTCAGAATGGAAGTTAAGGCATGATTCTTCCTTCGGCTGAGCTCCCGCGTCCTGGCCTGCCAAGGGCACACAGGTAGGAAGTGGTGAGGTCAAATCTAGACCTCAGGTTTGCCTTACTCAGGGTGATCCAGTGCACACCATGTTAAAGCCAAGACCTGACCTTGGAGAACCATCTAACAGGACTTTTCCACTTCAGTTAGCTCCAGCATCTTGGGGGATTCTCTCTCTTGATTGTGGCCTCAGTTTGGAGAAATTCAGTAATGGCACCTCGGCATTTTATTTTCCAAAGTTCCCATTTCTCACTCCACTGACCTCAGAGATAGGGGGTTGGAGGGAGGGTATTTCAGATTGTTAGGCATTTAGCAAAAACCGGAGTCTCTGGGAAGCTCCCACGTGTAGGCAGATCCAAGTTCAGGCCATGCTTTTGGAATGGATTGGCATTCAGTCCACAGGTAAATGCCCATGAGGGTGCTGTTGGCTGGGTCCCTGGGCAGAGGGTCAGTGTTGGATTATCAACATCTAAACTTGCTGATTTCTGCTACAGTCCTCTGGGGCTGGTGGGACTCAGCAGGGGCAAGACCATGGTTTCAGCTTTCAACGTGTAGAAATACATAGATATGTAAAGTATTAATATCACTTTTTTGGGGGAAGAATATTGCAGAATTTATATCTCTTTTTATCCTGCCCTCTAGGCTGAAACTCCACATTAGGCTTATACGGTGGGAACCTTCAATAGTTCCTCCTCTCTTCCCTGGCTGTTCTCTTTCCTCTGCTTCCCTCTTCTCCATTTCCTTGCCATCTTCTTCTCTTTCCTTTCCACGTTCTTTTCACCTGTCTTTTTTGTCTCCTTAGGTTTATAACTCTCCCTTTAGATACTTATGCATGCTGTCAACCTGCACATAGAAAATAAGACAGATATTTGGGACAGCTGTGGTCTATACCACTCTTGGACATTTTGAGTATAAACTTGGGTGTGAAACAATAAGTGAAAGTGGAGAAAAAGGAGAAAAATGGCTCTTTAGTTCATAGCTAGGAAAGAGCAGCAGTCACTAAGGGTGGAGAGAATACAAGATTTTCTTATCTCTGGGTGTCTAGGGCTTGTGACATGCAAACAAAGTGTATAACAGGAAGGGTAGATGCACCTTCCTGCATGGAATGTATCTTCTGTGTGACAAGGAAGCTGGAAAATGAGCATCCATAAATCTCAGGATGGGGATCAGCAGTTAGCGTAATGGCTATGTTGCTGGACTCCCACGTAATCAACCACGGTTCGAGTCCCAGACCTGGTGGCTTAAACTCACGCTGGGCGCGTGTGCGTGCGTGCCCAAGATCCTGAGAGGAGAATGGAGAAGAAGGGATTGCAGCATGGCCATCCCCCCGGGGGGTGATTTCTCGCTTTTTGTCTCTCTATCTCTCTCTGTCTGTCTGGCGAGCGCATGCGCCCTATAGCAAAAACCTCTCCAAAAAATAATCTCAGCATGTACAATAGCTTTGCCAAAAAGAAGAAAGTAGCATCTCCTTTAGAATCCAGGAAGAGGGGCAAGTATAATCGGCAGGGTGTCCACATGTGGGCTGTCGTTGCTGAATAAGAGAGACTCCCAGTGCAGACAAATCAGGCAGGTGCTGTCTGGATGAGCTCCACAATACCAAAGGGCGTCTTGTGCTTGGTGAGCCTTTCCTTGGAAAAAGACTACTTCATGCCTTCTTTAATAGCGATGAGCAAACAGCACAAGAAGTCTGCACACGAGAAGCGCCTTGTCCTGAGGTTAACGGGCACTTGGGTTTGGACGTCTTCAGTAATCACCATTGAGCACTGTGGTCTAATTTTGCCAATCTTTTAAAAATCAGAAGACTTTAATCTTCCTTAAAAGTATGGTCAGTGGAAATGTGTTCAACAAAAAGTACTCGGAACTTTCTGTCTAAAGACGATTAAAAAGCCGTCGTTCTGTGTATTGCGTGCCCATTAGGCACCTGGTCTTAGGCTCTACTTCGCCTCCATCTCCTTTACCTGCTGTATGTCTACAGCAGTCCTGGGAGGTCAGGGTGCATATGCCTGTTTTTCTCATGGAAAGCTGGTGTTACAAGAGGTGATGTCACTTGCCCAAGAAGGGAAGTGATTGAACTGTTTTGCTGGCTGTTCTTCCTAGCAGCAGATGGCATGTTGCTGCTCCGACCTTCAAAGTATTTACCCCATCCATTCTCTGCCGTGTCTGGCTTGCAGATGAACTAGGCCTTGACAGTGACAAAGACAGGGCTGGGGTAGCAAATGAAAACAGAGAGGCTTCTGCACACAGGAATCACTTCTATTTAAAAGACACATCGATTTGAATCCAACAGGTCTAAAGAGGCTGCTTTAGGATAGTAATTGTATTTCCTTTACGATGAAATGCAAATTGGAGCAGGCACTTCTTAGCAACTTTAAAACAACCTGGGGTTTTACATGATTTTTGTTCTCTGTTCTGGAACTACAAGGAGGTGTTGGTTTAGATGTTGCTATGTACTGGAAGTGACAGTGACCATTTGTCCCTGTTATCAAGGGACTCTCTAAACCATCTGAGGATGGTGCAGAAGGTATCTGAACAATTTTTCTTTGCTGTTTTAATTGAGGTATTTTTGTTACTTTCTTGACTCCCTTTGTAATTGTTATTTAGTTCCTTCAGTAGTGCTTTGTCAAGTTCCCGCCCTTTGCTAGGAGATGGGTGCATTTTCTTCCTTCACTTCTTCATTTCTTCAGTTACCAAGTAGACAGGTGTGAAGATAGAGCCACACAAGGCCCCATCACACAGCAGTCAGCAATGTCTTAGCTAGGCTACGTAACAAAATACCATAAACCGAGTAGCTTATCAATACCAGAAGTTTAGTTCTCACCGTTCTGAAAGTTTGAGATCATCATGAGATGATGAGCTCTCCCTTTCAGGTTTAAATAAGGCAGAGTAATGAGGAGGCTATCTTCATGGATGCTTCTTATAAGGGCCTCAATCCCATTTATGAAGACTCCACTTTTATAACCAAATTGTCTCCTAATGTCCCCCTTCCAAATGCTGCCACACCGGGGATTAGATTTTTAATATTGGGAGACATAAACATTCAGTCCATAACAAGGAAATATTTATTTAAAGAATTATTTATTTAATTTATCCATTCATTTTATTTTAATTTGACCAGAGAGAGACACAGAGAGAGAAAGAGGGAAAGTGAGAAAGCAAGCTACCAGGTCCGAGACTCAAACCGTGGTTGGCCATGTGGGAGTGTCCAGCGCCCCAACCACCACGCCATCTGCCATCCCCAACAAGGAAATATTAAGACCCCAACCCCTTTGCTCTTGAGTCTTGGTCTCTTTTCATAGTGAAATTTACCCTAGAGGTTGCTGTGAGGATTAAAGAAGGTAACATATTTGAAACCCTTTTTTGGGAGCTATAAAATGCTCCATGGTTGTCATTATTATGAATAGGTAACCAATGCCTCATGTAAATATTAGTATAGTTTATGTTAGAATATTTTTACATTTTCAACTGTGAAGCTTCTCGTTGAATGGTTTGGAGGAATTCTCCCATTTGCTCCACAATAACTCTCATCACTGGGTACAATATGGTATCTTAACCTCATTGGATAGATTTGTCTTCCTGAAATTGAACTTAACTTTCAAAATAGCATTTAAAGATTTTGGCATATTTAGAATGCATTAGAAGACACACAACAAATTCCTTAAAAAAAAAAGCTTAACAAATAATACAAGTAGAATGAACACATTTACCTAAAACTTAAGGCATAATTCTTCCTATCACATGCAATGTACAAACAGCTTTCAGGAGAGTAAGACTCTGGACATTAGGAAGTCCTTATTGGTAAGAAGAGTGCTTTCTCTTTCGTACCTTTTGTTTCTAGGAGAGGGGGTCATGACCATCTTTATGGAGGGCATGTGAGCAGGTGAGGCAGTTAGTGGCACTACACTCCAGGGCAGGAACTCTGCCCACATATGACCAGTGACTTTGCCAAGGCCGTAGAGCACGTAAGGCACTGAGCGAAGTTAGCGTAACTTCAATGAGCATAACTCTTTCTACAACGGGGTCTGATCCATCTGGGATGTTAAACTTTGAAAATTGGAGTGCAATTTGAGGCCATTATGCTCCTTGAGCAGGATGACGCCCGATGAGGCTGAGGTACGGGCAGGATGGACTTTCACGAGCATCTACTGGTTCTTGTTTTGCAGAGAGCGGCAGCCTGCATTCAGCCTGTGTCCATGAGAGCACCGTGCACAGCCGAATCTTTCAGATCTTGTACAGAAATGAAGAAGTGCCCATAAACGATGCCGTGATCTTCCGGGTTCATTTGCTCTTAGATGGTGAAAGGGTAAGTTGTGACTCTCCCTCCAGTCAAAAATGGCTGTTCTCTTGTCACGGTTGTTCCTCGTTGCTGGGTAAATGATGGAGAAGAATCCGATTTTCTCCAGACTCTGACAAAGAGCATGCACACCCTTATTTATGTATTCCTCTTCTTCCTCATTCTCTCTTTAGTATACTTTCTTGTTCCATGTGTTCAGACCTGAGCAGTCTCGACTGATAACTCACCGCCTTTCTTATTCCCTCCTCATTTGCCCGTCTGTGCATCCGTTCAGGTGCTCTGTCCATGAGTTAGTGACCAGATGTTCACTGTCTACTTTTCAGAGGGATCTGTTGGGCCCTTGCATGAAAGACAGAACTGATGAAGGCAGCAGGGCCTTTGCCCTCAGCGGGTTGGTAATTTAGCAAGAAAACATCCATATAATCACCCTGATAGAGGGAATGCACTATAAGGCTTTATATAGAAATGAATGAGGGCCCCCAAGGCTGGAGAAATGAGCTCCGTGAGGAGGACTAAGCTGTGCTCACCAACAGTTCCACAGTGGAGCTTGCTAAGGGCCCATCAGGCAGAGAGAGGGGAATGGCGCCCCATGAAGCCGCAGCGTGAGCACAGCCCGAGGCCTTGGTGGCCATGCTGTTTACTGGGAGCTCGTTCAGGAGTACCTGAAGGCCAGACTATTGCTCTCACTTCACCAATTGCCCTTGGGTCCTATTTCCACATTCCAGCTGGTTATTTACTCCTAGGTTTTCTATTTTCTATAGTGCTTCTATTTTAGAAAAATATAATTTGAGTCCCCCTACTCACAACCCCGTTGTTGCACATGTAAAACCTCTGGCTGGACATTTATTAGTATATTCCTTCTTTTGTGCCTCTTGGCCTTTTGTCCATGTATTTAAGATCTAGTTGGTGACCTGGTATTCTTATCTGGCTGAAAGTAAAAAACTGTCACTCATACTTTGTTTATCAGTCCATTCATTCATCGAAGACTTACTGAGCACACACTAAGCACCTACTATGTGCTGGGGATAGAACAGTGAATAAGAAAATATCCCTAGTGCTGGGGTTTATCATTTAATGTTATGTCAACAGTTCTGAGATAACCAAATAGATCCATCATGCGTGCTCTGTCCTGAGCCTTCCCATGGCTATCTGCTCAGCCCACTAGTCTACAAGACACACTCACAGAGGAGAAGAGTACTTTTCACCCTCATGGCATTGTCTTGTGAGGCCACAACTGTACCCAAGGTGGGAAAGACTTCGCCATGGTCCTACTCTGCAGCACTGGGTGCCTCAGGACAGACACTCAGATACAAAGATTACCAAGAGCTCAGCGCTATCTGCAACACCACCTATGCACAGGTGGAGCGCATTCCCTGTAGAACAAGTGACAAATGAGAGGCCTCCCTGGGAAGTTAATGTGGACTGAGGAGTCAGGAGGCCAAGAGCCCAAGGAGATGACGTCCTGGAGAAGGTCACGGCGTGGACAAAGGCCCTGAGCTGGGAGCGACGTTGGTGTGTTCCAGGAAGAAGGCCAGGGGCATGTACTCTGAGTGAAGGAAGAGGAGCAGGAGACAGACCTCAAGAAGGAGGTGGGGCCCGATGAACAGAGCACTACAGTCTGTGGCGGGGAATTTGGAGCCTATTCTTGGTCAGTGAAAAGCCACAATTTTTTCAGAAAGGAATAACAGCAGAATTTTTATTGGGGAACTTCCCCTCCCCCTAGCAGTTCGCAGGCTTCTCAAGACCAGCATCTTCTCTCTCACTCCCACACTCTGGGAGCCACAGGACTCTGCTAGAGATACCGCACAGGTACCCAGTGGATGACTTGGCTGCTGCGTGAATGAGCTGAACCCAGAAACCTTTCTTTTAGGGCCTTTGAACCTTTTCTTCTCCGACATTAGGTGATGCACATGCCCAGTGTGCCCTGGTCGAAGGGACCTGACTCCCGCTGCTGCATTCCCAGGCTGCTTCAACACTCACGGGACTTAGAACATGCTGAGGAATCAGAAGACGCCAGGCAGAGAAAGAGGACTATCGTATGGACTCACTCCCATGTGGAATCCAAAAACATCCTCATAGGAAGGAGCAGAAAGGTGGCTCCCAGAGCTTGAGAGGGGAGGGGAGGGACTGAGTAGTCTCCAGTAACTAGAGCCCATGGTCACCCTGACCATCTCCCTTAGGCCAGCACAGTGGCTCTGAGCACTTCATCTGTAATTTAGATAAAAATAAATGGAAACCAATGCCTGTGAGCTGTCCTGGCTGTCTTTGGACTGCCTTCCACCTGAGCTGCAGCCCTGGAGACTCCCTGTATGGGCACCTTGCTGGTATCTTTACCTTTGATGTCTGTTTAGTTCAGTCCATGGGAAGACCTTCAGGTGACTGGGAGGAGAAGGGAGGAGAAGGGTCCAGAATGCCCATCTCCAGACTCCTTCCATGCTGGGTCATGTAGGGCTGGCTATGTACAGAATTGAGTCAGCTTTTGAGGACCAAAGGCACAGATGCCTTTCAGACTCCCAGTGAATGACACCACGTTGGTAGCTTGCGATCAGCTGTGATGAGAGTATCTGCACCTCAGAAACTGACAGTGCCACACATCAGTCTTTTGTCTTTCCTTCAGTGAGCCAGGCATTAAACATTTACCACTGGCTTTGTTCTTGGATTGACAGCCCCAGCTCTGGTCAGGGCACACTCTGTATCTACTCCGTATCACCCTACTCCCAATAACCATCCCCTCTGCTTGACTCTTCAGGCCCAGGGTATTGAGGAGGTCCTGTGGTTGCTCACCTTGAGGTTCTGACCATCTTTTGCCACTTTCTCTGCATTCTTTCCGTACCTTCGTGAACAGTTATAGCTCTTAGGGACCGTACTTAGGGTCCTCGTTTTTAGGGCACTCTCTGTTTCCTCCTTAGACCCCAGTTGATACACTTAGTTTTAGAAGATATATTCTTAGATTGCCTCAAGTATTAAGGAATTCTCAGGTAGGCTGCATGCTCAAGGTCAGTTTTCCCCAATTTCAGTAAGAGAATTGCACTCTATCCTCACGGACCATTGTGCTGTGGTCTGGTAATGTCAAGGAATGATGTGGCCATGTGGTTGTGATTGGAGTCTGGATTTTGGCCTTATTCCAATATCTTGGCCATGATTCATTTCAATTTCATCAGAATCTCACTGCTACTTCTAACAGTTTAAAGCCTTTCAAGTTTAACCTTTCCTGACACTCAACTTTACCTGTATGAGGTTGTAACACACCTTAGTTCTGAGGTTGAACCCGGAGGAGCCTGCATTTCCTTCTGTGTATCACCTTGCTTATCTGCATAGGCTAATCTTTGATCACTGTGTTGGGAGTAAGTGATATGGCCGTGAACAGTGTTACAACTCTTCACCATATCCGAGTCAGGGACCGTTACAGTTAATAGAAAATGTCTGTAAAATGTGTCTGTGTATTTGGAACGTATACATTAGCTCTTTCCAGTGAATATCTATTTGCTTATGACAGCAAAACACTGCTTATAGCCAGGTGACCGGAGAATGTGTTCATGAATGCTCACAGACATCACAGTGAATAAAAGACATTTAAGGACCAGCTATCCATCAAGCACACTGTTCCATATGCTACAGGAAACTCAGGTGTGAGAAACGTCCAGTCCATGCAGTGAGGTCACAGGTAAGCCCAAGAGCTGGTCATGGACAGAGATAAGCATTCAATTAGGTGATTTAGTAACCGTTGTAAAGATCAATATGGAGGTAGTATTGTTTTTTACTTATGCATACTCCGTGTAATCCCAGAGAAGATTTGAGAAGGCTTATAAAACACATAAAATAGTAAAAGGGAAGACAAACAAACAAACAGCAGTAGATTGAGCCAGACTAGAATGAAACACAAAGAGGAAAACCAAGGCTGGGCTAAACGCAGCAGAACAAGACATACGAACTTCCTCTGGACATTGCTAACTACCAGTCACACAACCCACGTGACGCTTCAGTGGCCAAGGCAAAGAAGACACAGTTACTAGGAAGATACTTAGCGCTTTGAGAAAGAAGAGGGAAGGTTCCATCAAAAAGGTCTTTGTGAACAGTTATCTTTCTATGGACTGAAGGGAGGGGAAAAAAAGCATTTCCAAGTGTGACCCATCACAGTTCCCTGGCATAATTTGTACAAAATACAGCTTCCTGAGCCCATCCCAGAAGTAGTGATTCAGACAGAAGGTTTTCTTGGGCAGGGGTGGGAGGTAGCATGACTGCTAAGTTGATTCAGAATTTCAGTAAATAGGACTAGACTGGATTTCACAGGAAGCAGGAGCTTCTGAGACAGAGGAAAACAAACACAGCAAAACATTATAGAGGGCAGGCTTAGGAAAGAAGGCCTCATTGCTAATTGGACAGGAAGAGGGACAGACACAAAGCTAGAAAGGCAGAGGGAGCGTACCGCATGGAGAGACACTGCTGAAGGCGCGGATCAGGGTACAGAGATTCAGAGGAGGTATTTGTCCCAAGTGACACCGTCAGGAGGCGGTAGAGCCAAGGTGAAACCGAGTCAGTCTGGTCAGGGCTGTTACGTGGCCAGGTCTAGCAGGAAATTGGAAAAAGCAAAACAACAACTAACATCTATTGGAAATTTCAGCTCTTTGTGTACAGTTTCTTAGTTCACACAAAACAGCCTATAGGATAAGTGTAATAATTTCACCGCCATTTTACTGATGAGAAAACCACAGAGATGAGAGATGGGCTGGCCCGAGGTCACCCAGACAGAAATGGTGGAACCAGAACTTGTGCGCTTACAGGTTACCTTCAGAAACTGCGTCCTAAGCCCCCACGCTACAGTGACACTCAGGAGAGAAGTTAAGGGAAGGCAAAGTCTGAGTCACTGCAGTGGACAGAGTCGAAGGCAATCAGCGACAAAATGTGCACATAGGACACAGTTTCAAACGTGGGGAAGGTCAGAGATGGCGACCTAGATGAGATCTGGGATATGGGGTTTACTGTCACACTCGGGAGAGTGGCTTTACCGGTGAGCACGTTCCACATTTGCAAATGGAAGATGGTGTTTTTCAACTTGTAGTTTTATCCATATTGAAGAATGCAGTGAATGTATAATGATGGCTTACTGCCAGCCACATCGTAACTCTTCTGTAAATATTAGCCTTTTATTATTTCTGCTATTACACATAACTCTCCTGGTGGGGAGGGGTAAAACCTTGAAGAAAGATGATATCATTAACAGATTAAACGGGGTAAGGGGAAGACATGTACGTGTGTGTGTGTGTGTGTGTGTTCGTCCCTGGGGAAGGACAGATGATCTATGGCCAGCCATGAAATGAATGGTTAGAAAAGGCAGTGATTTCATTCTGGAGTATCTTCAAGTACGATTTATTGAGGCATCAGTGAAGTCATAACCAGTCTCATCCAGCCACAACTCATCCAGGCCGGTGATTTCTCTCCTAGTCCCTAAGGAGCTGCGGCAGGTTTGAAATGGGAGCTTCCACTAGATTTTTATCAACCTTTTATTAAAGGCAGGTGCAGGACCAGTGAGGAGGGCTTGATTTGCCAATTTCACTTCCAAGGAACTGGTGGCAAGAGGATGTATTGCTTTTGTTGTATGTATGAAGAGAGGTTCATGATTATGCAAAACAAAGCTAGGAGAGGAAGTTATTTATAGCCCTTGGATTCAGCAAAATGTTAACGTTTAAATGCTTTTTTTTTTTTTCTTTACAACAAAGTTTAAGCCATGGGGAGCTAAAGATAAATTTCATCCATATGTCTCTGCCTGAATTATGCTTAACCAGGAAGACATTTCCAACGAGACCTTTGGATAAGAGATTTCCTGTCCCTGCAGAATGAGGATGTTTTTGCAAAGAAACCAAAACGGAAAAAAAAAAAAAAAAGAAAAATAGTGGAGATGGAGGAGAGCTTTATTTATTCCTCAAAGGTGCACAGATGCTTTCTGTGTTGTAGGCGGTGTTCCTGGATCTGGGGATCCAGAAAAATTTAAGACAAGTCTCTCCTTTAATGACATACAGATTACTGAGAACACTGGGCAAGACGATAGCCAAGAGGCATTAGCTGCAGGCCAGAATGATGTCAGTGAACGCGATGAACAGCCCCAGACGCAGGGGAATTGCCTGGTTCAAGGAGAGCTTCCACCTGCCAGCCCGGGACTACCATATCCAGGATTTTTTTTTTTCCAGAAACTGGAAACCTGCAATATAAATGTGAAATTGCCTGAATTTTAGGTGTTTGCAAGTTGTTCAAAACATTCAAAAAAATACTGTGGGGACTAAACAAAACACATAGACAGATAGCACTTGGCTCATGGACTTCTGGGCTTCAAACCCGAAGCAAGCAACTTTAATAGGAGGTGCTAAGTGCTGAGATGAAAGGAAGCAGCATTTGTGGATCAGAGAACGGCTCTATCCAGCCTTGGGGTGGGAAGGAGGCCTCTTTGGGCCTCCAGTTTCCAGTTCTGACAGTGTGTCTAGCAGTGGAGGGTGTGAAGAGATCTGGTAGTTAGCAAGCTCGCCTCGTGCTGGGGTGACGCTGTTACTAAGACAAGGCCTGGGGTACCACCTTTTAGGTGTGGGTGGGAAGCACAGTTTTTTGTTTGTTTGCTTTTAAGCAAGGATGAAAATAGCTTATAGATACGACATGGAATGCTAAAGTGTCTTCAAGTGTGAGCAGTTAAATATAATGATCTAAGACAAACACAGAGACGTTGCCTTCTTATGAAGTCGCCCCATCTTGGGAAGACTTAACTCCCTCTCCTGCACATGTGGACTTTGATCCCTCCCACCGAGGGTGCCTGGGGGCGAGGGTGGTGCCATCTCTGACGTCACCCTGCCAATCTCCGAGAGGCTCCACTGCAGTTCCTGCCCCCACCCTTTCCCAAGAAGGTGCTACTGAACACCTGACTCTTGCCCCAGGGTGATTTCACATCAGATCCATTTGGGAAATGAGGCTCTTAAAAGTCCTGCAATAAGGAATCTTGTTAAACATTTCTTTGTGATTTGGCTTTTCCCAAAGTTGCATAAATCTCCTTCTGTTTTCTATCCAATGCTCCCAGATGTCCTGTTCATTCAGAACTCCATGGAGCATGCACGGAAATTCTGCTTTAAGAATAAATGACATTAATTTGGTGTGAGAGTCTGTGTCTTTACTGTGGAAAATAGATTGCCTAAATGATTCATTTAGACAAGATTTAACTCCTGAAATGCCTTTCACTTTGTTCCTCTTCCAGGTGGAGCATGCTCTGAGTGAAGTGGACTTTCAACTCAAGGTGGACCTTCACTTTACGGACAGTGAGCAGCAGTGAGTGTTGTGGGAGTCCTTGACCTGCGCAGCATGACGCTCCCCCACCCCACTCCCAGCACACCCTCATGGCCTGAGTACACAGGCCTCTCAGATACCTGGTCCCTGGTGGGCTGCAATGTTCTTCCACAGTCAGAGCTTTCCCAGGGTCATGGGCGGCCAACGTCTCTGTGGTCACTTCCAGCTGAATGCATTTAGGCAGGCAGCCTAGAGGCTAAGTACACAGAAGGCTCCTGACGTTCTGGCTTTATTACCTGGCAGCTTCTCATGTCTGACACCTCTGTACATTTTCAGTGCAGTATTAATTAGGGATTTTAGATTAATGACCCTGTGAGGTTACAAACCTCAAAGCTCTTTCTGAATCAAAGGAGGCTCTGCCGGGATGCTGTATCTTTGTACTAAATATCTGCTCTCATGTTTCATCTCTCTGAAAATTGAGATCCATCTACGTGCAGCCTACTGATTAAATAAGCAGGGG